ATGGAAACTAAGAATCACCACATTGTTTCAAATACTTGTTTTGAAAAAACTTACAGCACATTGTCAACTTAAAACCATAAAACCTGTGTATGTTCTTTTGCAACTGAGTTGCATTCTCTGTATATTCTGGCGCAATTAATGACTCTTTTAGTGACAAGCGTATGTAAGGCTGTATTTCTCCTACTGCTTTTACAGAACTAGCAGGCAACAGATTGTGAGCTGGATGTTAGTCCCTACTATGGAACAACTGAAGATTTATAAGCAAACACTTTCATGTCCAATATTCTTGAAGGAATGGAGGTTGGACACTAAAAGTATGGACAGTGCTTGTTTGAAGGTGAAATTAAAGAAGAATAGAACTTTTCTCTCATAAGAGTTAAAAATCAATATAATTAAGATTAATCTTTTAAGTACAAATTGGATTTTTTTTGTTACTGGAAATCATTAGGAGAAGGCAAATATGATCAAATATGTTCTTCTGGCTTTTTCCTAAATCTAACAAAGTTTGTGCAGGAAGTTGTAGTTAAATCCATCATAGTAATGGTAAACTCTGCAAGTCCTTTATTGCATTTCTCTTACATGCAGATTCTAGAGAAAGTGTGCATTGAGCTATATATTAAAAAAGACAAAGAAGCTTGAATGATCATTATTTATCCTGATACATGATTTGTAAATTTATACCACTCTGTTTTAGAGAGGCTGTAAACAGCAGGAAGCACATCAGAGCCTAATACTAGATGTATAACTACACAAAGTGCAGCAGAGAGGTGTTACCTGAAGATCATGATGGAGATGAGAAGTAATAAGGAAAATGAGCTCCTGTTCTCAAAGGCTTCAGGAACCTATTTACTAATAGACTCTGGAAAAATACTGCTCTAAGACCTCTGCACGGCAGGTCAGCCTTTGGTAGACTGTAAAGGTTAATTAATTGGGGATTAAAATATAGCTGATACAATAAAGATAGTAAGGATGATAGTTACTCTTAATCGTAACCCTAATAATTCATTTAAAAATAATTTTGTGACTGTTTCATCACTGTAAATCATTATTTTTAAGTAAATACATTCATTTATCTTTTAGTCTTGTCTAATGATAAAATTGATGGTTTAGCCTGGTATTTGCCAGGCCACAGCGTTTCCATGGAAAACAAGTATCTGTTCGCCAAAGAAATCTGCCACATGTCTAGGATATTTACCATGCAATGAGAGATACAGCTTTCCAGTAGTTTTGGTTAATTCACCATTGAGCTCCAGGGACCCAGTTGTGGCAGGACAAAACAAATGATTGTGGAGCAGGGACATCTTTTTCTGTGAATGTCAGCTTAAGTCTCTGACAAGTAATAAGATGGTGGACACAAGAGGTTGGAGATTTTGGTGTGTCTTTGAAAGATGAAGAGACTTCTTGTAACAGTGTCCTATTCCAAAAAGCAAATTATTTCATGATCTTAAAATGGCAAATATGCATAATTATTTACACAACTGGAGAGATAAGAATTAAAGTTGTTATTTTGTATTCATTTATTTGAAACTTTTCCCTCTGTAACTGTTTTCAGTTTACAGTTTCTACTATGTCTCAACCCCAGAATATGTATTTCTCCATCTCTCCAGACTAACTGTTGTTTTCACTATCATACTATAAATATATTATGACTAGACCTATGTGAAACAAAGCCATTTTGATTCACAAGGATTTCATGCAAACATTTTTCTCTGTTTCACTTCAAGGAGTTAATCTCTTGAGTTTGTCTTTGAATTTGAACTTCAAAGGAACCTAAAACCATGTTCTGAAATTCAGTCAAGGCTGCAAAGCCTTGCCTTGTTTCAGGTAAAAAGCTCAGGAAAGTGTTGAATTCCCTGACCAAAGCAAAATCAATTCACTGAAAAAAATCTTCAGTAACACAGAAATATCTTGTTCCTTTAAGTTCAGCAAAACTGGAACTTATTGAAATCACCAGCTATGGTATTACAATTGCCACTCATGTAGTCCTGTCTCCAACCTCTTTGAGAAATACTCACACAAACATACATTGAGAAAAGAAATACATATTTTACTACAGAGTATAATACAATTTGCTTGGTAAAATAATCTTACATTTAAGTAAAACAGTACTGAACAAGTGCCATCTGCACTTAAACACTTCCCTACTCCACAGAATTATGACATCTGGTAAATTTTATGGCCTTTCATACAACCTGCAATGCTGTTTAAAATTGCTTGCAGCTATTTTCATACCACATACCATTTATCATTCCAACTCCCCTCCTTCCCCAGCACCTCCTCTATACTGCTACTGCCACAAACAACAGAACTCAAAAGCAAAAAGCAGCACGACAAGCACATCTGAGCACACTGCATGTGTAGGAGAGGACAGTTCGGATCAGTATCATCATAGCAGAGCTGAGGCCCCACACCTCAGGAGAGTATAACTACAACCTTTGGCAAGCTTCAACAACTCCCCTCATTATTTGCAGCTATAACTAATACCGGAACATGCTCTTGTAAATACTGATAGTTATTGCCTGCTCAATAAAGGCAGATAAGGTTGTCTCAGTCTATAGCTTGACGCTCTTAATGTGTGGCTTTCTCTCATTTTTATGCCATTAAATTCTATACTCTAGAAAGGCATAAGACTTCACATATTCTGACAAGATATCTATTCAGTGAATAACTTTCTGTTCACCCTCATTTTGTAAGAAAGAAGACTTCTAAAAGTATAGCGACACCCATAGTAAAAACAAAAATTATGTTCTTTAAACACCAAAAAGAAACAAAACAAAAGTTTAGCTGTCTAAGTTAGCAACTTTGCCTGAATTTAAAAAGCAAATATTTTTGAACGATGTGTCTCCCAATGACCTGGACAGCTGTAACCCCATATACTTAATCCATTCCATAGCTAAAGACGGGACAATATACTCCAAAGCCCTCTTTTGATACCGCAGTGCGGTAGTGCCTTTTATTTGCCTTATTGCACTGTTTTCTCCACAAAAGGCAGGTGAAAATCCTATTACAAGGAATGTTCACAGCTCTTTGGATTATTACTTCTTTCCTTTGTAATAAATGTGATTTCAGAAAAACGATGACATCCATTTGTCCTTGTTACTTCTCTTTGTGACTCAAGAAGGCTAAACTCTGTTAGGTTATATCTTAAAAGCTCACCTGCACACCCATAAAGAAGCTCAGTCGGACAATGGCAGGAGGGGGAGCCCAAAAAATACTCTGCTGGGCCATTCAGTGTCCAGGCACCAGAAACCGTGTGGTCTGGGACCCAGAGTAAGCCACTGAGTGCCTGAGCTGAGCTGCTGGAGGGATCCACCGTGTGTGGATATGGATGCTCACTGTTCTCGCTGGTGGACATGTATCCTGCTCCTCCAGAGGTCAGCAGGATGAGGCCATCGGTGCTGTGTTCACGTGCGTGCTCCGTCTGTGATCCTATGGCCAGCCATGTATACGTGGTGTATATGGGCTCTTACGGGCACATGCACACCAGGAATGCATTTATGGCCTTGCTACTGGTTGGACCTTGGGGAATGCAGCTCTGGTGGGCTGTTGAATCCAACATGATACAGTTTCTTCTAGCAGCTTATACTTATTTTTGGAGGCTCACTAGTTAAAATGTACCTACCTAACTGAGCTTCTATCCCTGCATTTCTGCAGTTAAGAATCTTAACAGACTATCGCATTCATAGGAATCATATTTTCCAAGTAGCTGTAATAGATCAGCCAAAGCCCTAATATTATACTTTCAGACAGAAATGATTTTTTTTTCTTTATTTCAATGAAATACTACATCACTGTAAATTCTGTGTTTCGTTTCCAAAGATTAGATGCAACCATGTCACTACTATGCACATTCGCTCTTGGTAGAAAGAGGGATGACCATGAAATTCCCCCCCCCCCGGCATTGGTACTTTAAATATCTCTGTTTAATAAACATTCATTTGCCGTTTAACTCTTTCAGCTTTACCAGTTCAGTAGCTAGACCATGGAGAACTTCGCAATTCAATACATATATATATATATATATATATATATATATGTATATGTATTAATAGTTAATATATAAAATAGATTCCCTCTTACATTAATACAATGTTTAAAAATAGAACATATTTTTTAAATCTAGACAACCGTGAATTGACAAAATTTTCTCATTGATTTGGATTTTTTTGTTTAAAAACTAAAGAATTCTGCAATTACCTTTGTAAAATTTTACACAGCTGTAGTTATGGTAAAGTAATATAAATTTATATCTCTACAAACGCTTCCCTCAATTTTAACTTTTCACCTGTTCAGAAGCATTTTTACTCTCCCTTCAATATTAAGAGGTTGTTTGCTAAAGAAAAAATGGAGAAAAGTAAGGACTGGATATGTTTTCTCCATCTTCTAGCTATTTTAGAATGCACTTCACAGATGAAAATCCCACTTTTAGCATATGAGAGAAGGGGCAGATGACATATACCACTGACTCAGCATACATTATTCAGAATCTATAAAAAGAGCAACTGTACTTTTTTCTCTTCTTTCTGTGCTTTAATAGTGTAGGGCATGTGGAGTTCATAGGAAATATTCTTATTTGAGAAACTCATAAAAAGAGGTAAATAATTTTATTTTAGAATGGTAAATTATCATTATAGAAACACATCAAGTTTAGCAACCTGAACCAGCATCTCTCTAGGAGTGGTCAGCAGCTCTCCCCCACTGCTTAAGACAGATCTATTGTGTCCGTTTGAAACTCTAGTGTGTAATTGCTGAGAATGTGTTTGCTCAGTACACCCAACTAACAGAGCTGTACTGCTTTGGACTCCTGCATGATGCAGCACAGTGCTGTATAAACACCTCTCTATATAGATAAGGTGGAATATGATTAAACCAACACCTCCTTTCAGAAAAGTTTTTAGGATCTTTAACAACCGGAGAGGAACACTGACTCGTTATCTCAACAAAAAGACATCAGTGTCTTCCCTACTCCATTGCAAGTTTGAAACCGCAGAATGGCTTACAGTTATGACAAGTGGCGCCACTGTATCCAGTTCCATCACAAGTGCACTTGAAGCTGTCCCACGTCTGGGTGCATTTGCCATCGTGTTCACAGTGATTGGGCACACATCTGTCAGGATGAGATGCAAAGACAGAAAGAAAAACCTAAATGAGCATCAAGATTTACACACAGTTAAATTACGAGCTGCCCGAGCAGTGTATCATGTCCCTGACTGGTAATTAATCCTTGTTATTTCAGGCAGATTAACAGAATTTATATCTCAACACACAACTGCACAAAAGATGATTCATTGAGGCTCTGTTGCAGCCCTTTTACACACAGAAAAAAAAGTGCGATAAAGGTGGAATACATTCACCCATCATAAATTAGGGTTCTAAGCTGTGTATGACTGGCACTTAGCTGTCAAAACAAAAAGAACATCACAAGTCACACCTCCTCCTGCTGTGCAGGTGGTGTCATGCCTCAAGGACTCCAGTCCCACAACTGACCGGGTTAAAGAAAGAATGCCAGTGAGTTGCTATTTATCTTTCTGTTGCCAGCAATGGGATAAAGTGGAGGCAAACTGCCTGCTGGCTAGGATGGAAATTACTAATGCTGCATTATTAAAACAAATAATAGACCAGTATAATAAAAGCTGTAAAAGTTTTTTCTTCACAGGGATTCGTGGCAAGTGTTGTCCACCTTTTTGCCTCCCACCTGCTTTTCTTCTCCAACTACACTGTTACTGAAGAGTGGAAAGAACGCCAAAGAAAATGTGGAACAGCAAGAAACAAAGTTATAGCAGAACATAAATTTATTGTTTGCAACATTACCAAAATGTGATTTTGAAGATTTGAGTTTGGCCAGTTTCTTTTCTATCAAAGATAGTTAAGAATGGGAACTGCCATGTACTTTCACCTTTGAAACTATTAAATTTCTATACTTTGACAAGCCTTTGAAGTATAATTTCAAAGAATATTTTTTCTTATATTCATTACAGTTAGTCTCAGTACAGTCTCTGCATTTTTGATCAAGAACTAAAGGATCTTTTCTTTCATGCTGAGTTGGCCAAATCTAATTTATGAACTACACTTTTTTATTATGACATTAAAAATTAAAATTAGGAGACCCCCATTAGAGAAACAAATTATAATATTTTCATAAATGCATTATAAATTAAGTATCCTTATCTCTAAAATAAATCTGAAGGTCATCATATTCCTGTGATAGTTAACAATACTCTATTAAATAACACCCAAAGACCACTTTCCTATGTAGCAATTTATTGAAACAGAAAGTATCTGGGTGAACCCCCTATAAGCTTATGGTCTTGTATCTCCTCAAGTTCCAAGTCCAAGTACACAACTCAGCTAGCAAGAACAACTTATGTCATGATATGCATTAGAGACTTGAATATTATGTACTCACATTTATAAAGATTTAAGGTTTTATGTGTGCCCATACAAGCACCTCAGAATACACATAATATACTTGTCTTGCATCCTGTATCAGTGTGTAGTATTCAAGGCTACCCATTCTTCCTCAAAAAGATCTGAAAATACTAGCGTGGTTAAAAATAGTGCTTAAAGAAATGCTATTCTAAAGCAAGAAACAAAGCATTAAAATTTTTTGTTTTCACAGTAAAATACAGTGAAACTACCCGAGGCAATTATCACAGTTCAATAATTTATCTTTTAACAGGGTTTAAGTAAATTAATTTAGTTTTGTAAGTGTGGCAGGCTAAATGAACAGATAGAGCTGACTGATTACTGCTGTTCAGCTAATAAGTGATGACTTTCTGTTGTGTTCTCAACACCACAGAAGAAAAACACGAGCACATAATAGCACATTTCTAAACACCCAAATGATTAACAATTTATATGGATCCATAGCTGGTGGGTACAAGAGTAGGAAAGAGAGCTCTGACATTTCAAAAATAATCTCATAAAATAACTTTTATTCAAGGACATAAACATCCTCAGAAGTTCCTAAATCTGATATGGTTTTGTATTTTTTTTTCCAGCCTTTCAAAATAACTGCTCTTGATGTATTCTTCACTTACATTTGTACATTACTTTAAAAGTATTTTTACAATGACCAAACTAAACATTTTTCTATGTGAATTTCACCAGCTATTTATATGAAGTCTTACACATAACACTAGTGACTAGTTTCACATTTTAGTGCAGTATAACTTACATTTATTGTAGCGTAACAAGTAAAGGTACTACATTATTGACTATATAACTGAGGTAAATGACTTAATCTTGGGAAATATGAAAACCAGATATTTATCTGTATCATTTAATGGAGTATATTAAGTAATAAACCCAGAGATATTCAGCAAACTCCTTGATGTAAATTTTATACTTCTAGTACGACTAGCTTAGTCTGCATCTGCAAAATTTTTTACTCTTCTGCTTTTCCCTGTTCTAAATATGATGTAGTTAGAAATAGGGAGTAAACAATATCCTAATACTAGTGCTAACTGGAGTTTAAATCAGCCTATTAGATCATTTCCTTAAGTCCTCCTTCCACCCTCAATTTTCTGTTAGTTTATTTTATCAGGTAGAATTATAACATTTATTTTTTTATTAAATCAATTAGCCAGCTTGTGGAACATAATCTGCTGCTCATCTGTTTGCTTTTGGACAAACCTTACATGCTATAATAGAATTTACAGGAAATTTAGGTAACCAGAATGTAGAAATTAAAAAAAAAAATAAAATTAAAAAACCTTCTGAATTCAGTAGAGATATCATGAAGAATTTAATTTCTAACTGTGAACTCCATTGTCTTTCAAACATTTTCCTTGCCACAGAGTGATAGTAAGATACAAATACTGGTAAAATAGAAGGTACCTTGCCTATGTATTTCCATATATATCTTGCTAAGAAATTTTTATTTTTAAAATTATTTAATCGTATGAAACCATCTAGTTTATCTACTTTATGCTTATCATTTAGTATATACACAAAATATATACATTCAAAACCAACACATGCTCTACTTGCAGTTCATTTGTATTAAAAAACCAACGGTATTTCTAGGCAGTTCCATTATTTAGTCTCCTTTTAGGAATAAGGCTGAATCACATAAAAACCCCCAAAACTTCAAAACCACACTTCCCTCCTGAACCAGAAGTTAGAAGCTGACACAAAAGAGAGAACTGGAAATTCCTAGTCACCGAGTTGCGTCCCTTCCCACTGTGGACACCTATATTTTACATGCTGCTGCTTACAAAATCTTGCCAACACCATCTTAAGAACTTTCTTGCTCTATATCTTCTTCTGAAAGGCAGGTCTAGAACTTCATCCCTTCAAGTGTGATACACTTTCTTTTCAGTTCCACCCGTAAATTTATCCATAGAGAGTTTACAAATGCTGGTTTGTTTGGTATTTAATTTGGTAACACTGACTTGTATCTAAACAACTTCTGTTCTTTGGGATTTACATCTGATGTCTTTGTAGAGAGCAACCATAACTTCTTTCAGACTGTATTTTTATGAAAATAAGTCTCCTGTTGGAAAATATTTTCTACTGTTGTTCTTCCTTGTAGCTCTGCTCCCACTTGCACTTCTGATCTAATGAGTATGCTGAAGGAGGTCTTACCAATGTTTTGCGATTTCAGAGTTGATCAACATTTTTGTATTTCTCTACTGAAATTATTTTGCTTGATATACAGCATTTTCCTGACTACCTCAGAACAGTGGCTCAAAGTCATCTTGAGATTGCTCAGTACATTAAATACTTTCAGTACATTCCTATCCTTCTTCTCTTCCGTGACTTCCAGCCTATGAACGTCAACTTTATACAGAAATTCTTGTTATTACTCTGTACTGTAACTTCTGTGGTGTCACCCAAATCTTTCTGCTTATTTTTCTAGGCTGAATCTGTATTACCAGCACATTGCATCAAGATACTCCTAATTCTGAGCCAAGGTCGAAGCATTAAACAGGATCAAATCTGCCACCGATCTCTGAGCAGCTCTAATCTCTCAGCCAGCTGTTAACCCATCAGTATAAATTGTCAGGCAATTCTGTTTGCCAGTTCACAATTCACTTTGCAATTCCTCTCTCAAACCCCATCTTCCCTGGTTTAGCTAATAATTCCCATCATCATTACAGTATATCAAATGCTTTATCGACATCTGACAAACTAGATCTGCTGCATTTCTGTCTGAGAAAAAAACCCACTGTGTTTTATCAGAGAAGGAGATCAGGTTAATCCTGAACAATCGACTGTTGATAAACATCTGCATTTTACTCTACCTTCTATTTACTTCCAGGTATTTGATTACTCTTTCCTTCATTTCTTCAAAAGCTTAGTAAGACTATTAAAGTCAAATTAATGGGTGTCTAGTTACCTGGATCTCTTCCATTCCTTTTGTTAAATTACATGAGGTTAACTCTATCACCTATTAATACAAAACCATGCTCTTACAGGACTATCTTCCCAATTATTATCTAAATAGTTCTGGTGTAGCCTTGGCACCTGCTTATTCTGTTGTCCTAAACAATTGCTATTCCTTCATGTCTTTGTTATCTGCTGATTCATTAGCAGTATTTAATCTGAGGTCTATTAGCAATATTCCTCAATAATAGCTGGTACAGACTGTTGGCTTGCTTTCAGCTGTGGTAGAACCCAACTCACAGCCTTTCATGTCCTTTTATCCTAAATATTGTAACTGTATCCTCTAGAACATCTCTTTTATTCCAGTCCTCCACAACACAGACCAAAGAAATAGAGTAAATTGCCATTCCTAAATAAACTCATGCCATTGCATTCCTTTCTTGCTGATGTTCAGCAATGCCTTATTAATATATATATGGTGTTTCTCCAAACCAGCACTTAGAAAACTGGTCCCTTTTAAGCTTTACCTATAGTCAGTTCTGGTTGAAGTTATTTGTAACAACCCTGTTTCAGTCAGCTGTCTATGTTTTAAAACTACTTGATTGCAACTCTGATCTTGCATCAGGATAATGGAAAACTGTATGTTACACTTTTTTCCTCGCTGTCTGCCCAGATATACCTCACACAAGGAATACAAATAGTCTATCCATGCAATGAAGGTTTAACATTGCCTGAACATTTAACATTTCCTCAGAGATGGTATATACAAATATTTAA